ATGAAAAGGAAAGACAAGAATTGAAAAATGAAATATTACATCAACGAGAATTAGATAATAACGAAATGAAAAATATTAATATGTTGTTAAGACAAGTAGATGATCTTCAGCAACTATTTCCAGAATTAAATGATGTGTATACAAAAGAAAAAACAGAAATATACACACCAACACCACCAAGAAGATTAAAAGTATAAAATATAGTAAAATTAATTCTATTATTAAAAATATAATATATACATATAATCTTTTGTAGGGTCCTAAATCGAGAGAATCATCACCTATGCTTGATATGAAAAATGATATTAAAGGTAAAAACTGTACTTTAAAACTCTATCTTCTTGTAACAATATATGTTTAACATACATGATAAATGATATATCTATGCATATATGTAGATTCTATGCAGCAATTGGAAAATAGAACAGAAAAATTGGAATATACTATAAGGAAATTAATGAATGTAGCAAAAGAGCTTAAAGAATCTAAGAAAACATTGGATAATATAAGTGCAAAACAGTTGATGAAGCTTAGTAAGAGGTGAACTATGTAGCAAAATATTAACATGATTAAAAAACGGTTTTTTCCTTTATAAGATTAATCCTATATAATATATATTTTATATAACATATTTTTATATTATAGATCAACATCTGTAGATAATACAACAAGAAGAGGTACTAGTCCAAATCCTTCCAAACCACGTTTGAAAGTGAAAAGTTTATCTTTAGAGCAAACAACAGGGGGAGGAAGCATAGAGGTAAAATTATATGAACATCTCTGTATTTTTATCTAATGTTATTATTAATAATTATTGTAATAATATACAAATAATACTATGTGCACCAATATTAAATATTTATAAAATAATTTTTTTTCTTCAGTCCCAAAATGTTTGGGGTACTGATAGTAACATGTCCAGTCTACAATCATTGGAATCCAATCCACGAGCATTTACTTTACAAAGGGATTCTAGTGTGGATAGGTATATATACTAAATATATTAAATTATTAATATCACAAATTGTACTACTTTACTTTATCTTCATTATCTATTTTAGTCGTTTGTCTGGTGACTCTACAAAAAGTGAAATGTTACATAGAGAGAAAAAATACAATAAAGGTATAATTGGAAAAATCAGAACTAAACTGGTTAAATCTAGCAGTGTTGACGATGCAAACATGAATTTAGACTATCGAGTAGGTAAAAATGTATTATTTTGCTTATATATATTAATTATTTTTTAAATAAAATGCAAATTTTAATTCTAGCAAACTTCAGGCTCTGAAATGAGCATTAATGAAAATATTAAAGAAGAAAAAAAAAAGTTAAAAAAGAAATTATCGGATATGTTTAAAAGAAGCAATAGAAGTAGCAGGTAATTTCATAATTTTATTAACTACCATATTATTCAATGAAATTGATTATGTTTTTACTTATTTATTTATTTTTTTTCAATTTTTAACATAGTAACCATATTTCATTTTATACAGTACCAGTAGGAAATCTGAAAGTGGAGACTCTAGCAGACCACCGTCAAGAAATTCAATAACATCAAAAACATAATTTCATATGATTATATCATTTTAAACTTTACAGTTCTATATTTATTTACAAAATCAGTTGCAAAGTGTCTAAAGTTATGTATTATAATTCAGTAAAAATACTTCTTCGAATATAAATTTTATTTATCTTTCTTTACTGTGTCTTTTCTATTTTTTTATTAAATAAGGATAAGTAAATTATTTCAAATAATGTATATCATTTTCATACTTACAAGTAAGTTTTTCTTACATACATACAAGTAAAAATATAGCCTATTATTAGAGATGGATCAACAAAATTAGTCTGAGCATTTGCTGCTAGATGGCATTTAAAATTCTAATAATCAGTTGAATAAAGTCGAAAACTTCAATACCGATCAGGGATCAACAGTTTCTTTTACTATCTATGCGCTGCCTACTATACGCAATTCGATTTACTGTACGGTGTGGAATCAGTAAAGATTCTTGTTTTTTTATATAGGATCGAATTATTTGAATTAAATCAGAATGTCAAACAAAGTATTATTTCTTAAATCTGGATTCCCGCGAGCTCCTTTAGGACTTGGAATTGGACGTTATGTATGTCAGTTACAAAGAGTGACATTAAAGTTCTGTAAAAATCATGGTACAAGTAAAGGAATGAGGTAGGTTAGAATTACTTCCCTTTTTTATATAAGTATTAGAATGAATTTATTTTTAAAGATCAAGAGAAAATATAACAAATTTATTATAAAGTTATTTATTATATTGTTGATTTTTTGTAATTATTTATTATATTGTTGATTAAGAAAAAAAAATATTGAGATTATTGAATAATTACATATATGTAAAAGCGATATTTTACATTTTATTCAGAGACTTTTTGGAACACGATTTAATAGACTATGCAAGCAAAAACTCTGGCATTGTTGTCTATGTGAAACCAAGACGACACAGAACACCAGTAATAACTGCAGAATATTGTAAGTATATCACTTCATACATGTTATAAATACAATAAATATTGTATCTTTTATAGTAAATGGAGAAAAACAATGGATGAATGTTAGCAACTATAGTAGAGAAGACATTGTAAAGTGGATGGAATTGTTACGCACTCAATTTCATGATGGTACAAAACTGCGTTTAAGAAAATTATGGCACACAGAATTTCCTTCAATTCAAGGACCATGGACACCTTTTACCTTTAAAGATCCAAGCCATAATTTAGTACAGTTTCCTAATGTAAATATAGTAAAATGTTTATACTTTAACTTCAATAAAAATGTTTATTTCACTGTACATATATTTAAGACTTGGATATATTGTTATTACAGAAGGAAATTGGCTCAGCTATTAAAACCGAACCAACTGCTACTGAACAATTAATTAAATTATATAAAGCTCAGAAAAGATGTGAACAACAAGAACAAGAAACTGAAAACCAAAGAAACACTTCAGAGGGATCTGCTTAATGTGAAACATAAAATTAAATAATGTAGGATAACAATGTTGGATGTGATGAAAATTTAAATACATGTATATAAATTATTGAAAGAAATAATTATTCTATAACTTCTTTATTGGATTTATAAAACACGATAAACACAGTTTTTAAATTCGTTGGTTTATTAATGCATCATATTTCAGAAATAACTTTTAATATAAAAAATTCCAATGGCAGTAAACAATTAAATCAACTTGTCTACATTTTTTAAATTTTGTTATCATTTGTAATTGTACATATTTTTTTAACATGCTTGTAATTTATTTATTCAAATAGATATGATAAATTTATATAAAATGTAAAGTACAAAGTCGAACGCAGAGAAAATATCATAAAAAGTAATATATTCTGTGAAATTTTTCTGTTCTAAGCACAAAGATACATACATAATCTGATACAAATAGATGTATCTATTTTTAATGGTTTTATAAAATAAAATTTCAATTAGACATGTGATTATCTCTTGGAATAGACACATATCTACATGAAACTTTTAATATTATAACTACTTATATATTTTAGTTCTACAAAAATATATTTTGACACTTTTTATATAAAACTTGAATAGTGTTGTATACATTAAAAATGTCATTTCTAAAAGAATAAATATATAAAAAGCCATCATAGAATAAATAAATATACATGGAGATTAATTTAATTACAGAATGTAATTATTCTGTTAAACAAGAAACTGATCATTCTAAATCAAACTTTCCTATTAAAGATAATTTACTTTCTTAATTTTAAACTATATATGTAGAAATAATGAATCTTATTTCGTTTAACTTTCATCTTCTATAAATATGAAATATCATACAATAATGTGTTTTTGTTACTACACAGGTTATACAAATTATTAATATAGTTAAATGTATGTTATAATTAGAAAAAGAAATTGTTTCATATAACAGTGTAATTTCTAAAATCCTGTGTAAAAGTTATGATTGTTGTGCTGCCATTTGTATAAAAAATATTTGCTGACAAGTAATTATAAAAATTTTAATATCTGTAGATTTCATCATGAAATTAATTTGTCAAATGTGATAAATACCTTAAACATATAAGTTTATAAAGTAAAGAAATTTTAACTTATACGCGTATTTACTATTTCAATAAAATAGAAAGCACTAATGTTCAATAACAATTTTAGTAATAGAAATATGATAGATAAATTGTATTTTACATTCTTATATGTTGTCACACAAATAATATTGAAATAGTCAAGTAATGTAATAAAAACAATATTCTTTATTCATTTTTAAGAAAACAACAGAGAATAAAGAAATATTTTTCTCTATTATTTCCACATAATATTAAATTATTATTAAAATGTGATTGGATTAATATTTTATATGTTAAATTATTTGTTGAATTGCTTTTAAATTCAAATTGTATCAGAACAATAGAATAATTACTATTATAAAAATATACATATGTATGTATGTATGTTTGCACAAATACATATATATGTAGTAGTTTCGTGAAAATTAAAACGTACACTCGCACAAGTAAAACAATACTACACTTTTCATAAAATATAAATAAAATTACAATGTCTAAAACTTACAAATATGGTTCTTGCACTTTTAAAATTATAATCTATTTTTATAAGGTTGCTTACTGAACATATAAAATACTTCCATTATAAGAAAATATTTTTACGCTTTATTTATCATAAAAAATATATTTGCAATAAAAATGTAATTATTACTGTCTTCAAAAATCATATATTGAAAATAAATATTATATATTAATGGGTTTTACTCAATGAAAAAATAAAAATATTGAACATTTAATTACAAAGATTATTTCAAACTTATATTTAGAAAAGATGTAATTGAAGATTATGTATCAAGAAATCCTGGAGATACTGATACCCTGATAACAAAATGCTGAGATAATAATATACATATCATATCTGATACAATAAATCAAAGTGCAATGTTCCATATTTGAAGATACAAATAAGTTGGATTACAACGTTAATTACGCGCACAATGTTATAAATATTTATAAAGATGACACAAATAGGTGAAACAACAATGCAGACAAAAAATATCTGATTCAATGAAGTATCACGTGCTATGCAAAAAATGATGTGACTAGAAGGAATGTATGTTTATTCAACTTTAAGGCGTTTACTGAATTCTTCTTGTTGTTTCTCCCTCCATTCTTTCTTTGGTTTCATTCTTTTAAGTTGACCGTCCCTAATAATAAAATAAAAAAATATATTTATGTCTGACCTATAATAATTTTATCATAGGAATATTAATTCGTTTTTTAATTTTAGTTTACCATTGTAAATCAACAAGTCCGCCTTGTCTTGCTATAACTGATTTTACTCTATTTGCAAAATCAATGGCACTCTCTCCTTCGTTTCTATACATTGGAGGTAAATACCAAACTTCACAAACTATAGCCCAACTAGACATCATCATATACAAATACTGTAACATTGAGTAACGGCTACTATTCCAAAATGCGTCACCAAATCGTGGATCGTACTATATAAAAAATCCATAATAAAAATATTTAAAATTTTCAGAAATGTTTATGAGTGCACCCACATATATATACATATACATATACATACATATATACATTATATATATATAATGTAAATATGACATAAATTACTAAAAATAATATATACACACATGCACATATTACCTTAATTGCAACAGGGTAGATGACACCACCTACTTCAAAACTACCCTTTTTAAATTGCATAACAGACGTATTATTGATACAAGTTCCTTCAGGAAAAATCAATATCGGTGGATTTGTGGGATCTGATACGTGTTCTTTTAATCTAAATATAATGTAATATAACAATTAATTTACTAGATTATAATAAAAATTATAAAAACTAATTAACCTATATCATTGTTTTACCTTCTTGCAACTGCTTCTCTATCTTTAACTTCAGAACGTTCAAACCATATATGTGGAGAAGCACGAGCAAGTGCTCTTTGTAAAATCCCCAAGAATCCACCATGCCTCTGACCTATCTATAATCGGATTAATTACTAATCAATGTAATTACATAATAATAATTGATTATGATATTGTGAAAAAATCAATTGTCAAAGTAAGTATAGAAAATATGTTACAAAAAAATTATTTGTTATGTCTCTCTCTGAATAATGTTAACTTAGTATACATATTAGATAAATATATAATAAATATATCATAATTATATACTATTCGATAAAACATACCAAAGAATAACAATTATCACACATAAGTATAAGTACATCAATAGGAGATGTGTGATTAGCTACACATATGCCTCTGACTGGTCGATTTTCTGGATGATGGTAAGTAATGACTGAAGACAAAGCACTGGATAATACAGCAAAGCACATTATGGAGACTTTGTAGTTCAGCCATCGTTTGAAGCTACCCTCTGGAATGTAGCCCACTACTGCTGTGCACATTGTCAGCCACATCACCTGTAAACCACAAGCTTTGCACCTGAGAAACGACGAATCCCTCTGAATAGTTGCTGTGTAGATACTACCTGTAAAGCAAAGTTACAGGATACTGTTACCTGTAACACTTACGAATTTGTAATGTCTTTGACAAAGTAAATGAGAAATATCTTTAAAAGATTGTACTCACAAATAGAATCTCTAGTAGTCAACTTGAACAATATGTAAAACAATAATGATTATGCTAAATATGCAACAACAAATTTATAAATAGTAATTATTGATTATTATGATGTATATAATAATAAAAATATGTTGTATGTATAAATTATAAGCAAAAAGCAATAATTTTATATCCACAACTTATAAAAAAATATTTAATGATAATATAGATATATTTACTGCATTATATTATTATATTTACTATGTATTTATTCTTAAGCTTGCAGATCGATATATTCAATTATTATATATTACCAATACTAAACTTGTTTGTATGTATAAGATACAAACGTCGATAATGAAGGTATAAGTAACTACATCTAGTTTCTGATTTGTTTTCTGAGGTGTGTATCCAAATCGAAATATGAATCTAAATGTAATAAAAAATGTCTGGTTATTTGCCCAACATTTCATAAATTTGTTTGGCAAGAATCCAACTAAATATGTTGCGAGGACAAAGTACAGTACCTAAGAAACTTCATTATTAGTGAAGTTCAGTTTTTGATACGTAGTAAAAACATACAAAAATTATATAAATCGAATTGTATAAATTTAACACTGTTATAACAATTTAATACTTGATCTATAATAAAATGATGTAGAGAATTAATCTCATTATATAAAATTATACATAATTGAGACATCATCATTTTTCATACCTGTAATAATAGTGACAATAGTACTTATATTAAAGGAAAATACAGCATTTTGACCAATTTTCTGAAATGTATACTTGTTTTATGCTATCTTAAATATGTATAAGGAATAAAAATATAAAATTCATTGAACTTACTCCTATGCAACAGATGAATATTCTCAAAGGTAGAAGAAAACAATATCGCATAAAAAATCCAAACATCCATATTACTGTTAATTTCCAAGATATAAATTCATAATGCCTATTTGTTCGTGTGAGAAGATTCCAATTCTGTAAATATAAGAAAATAATAAAAAAGCAATAAGTAATAAATATAAGATCATCATTTTACATTTTCTATAGGTAGGGGAAAATATAAAAAATAAATATTTTTACCTTTAGTTCTTCTGCTTCAAAACGTGAAGTTACTTCATCTTCAATAATGGCCTCTACTCCAGCTCTGATGTAATCTAAGCAAACAGCTGGTTCAAATCCTTTTTTGAGCGTTTCAAAAGAATTACGTCGTATAAGAGTATTCTAAAGGAATACACATATAAACAAATTTTCTTATATTAGATATTACAACTCTTAATTGTTAATTTAATTTTATAATTGTTCTAGTTGATTTTCGCACTTATAAACATAATACTTAAAAAAGCAATTTACCTCCTTATTGCTATCTATATCCTTTGAAATTTCCTCAATTTTCTCATTTGTATGTTCATCTATATGATTCTTATTATTTTGCATCTCTGGCTCAGGTAATAGAATCAAATCTGTTGATCTAGCTATGACTTGATTATTACTCATAATTCCATTTTGTATTTGAAATTCCTTGTCCATGGAATGTTTGTTTAATTTTTGCTGTGTATTCCTCGCAATAGATTCATGCTCCTCCTCTTCTTCTAAGATATTATTTTTATTTCTTTCTTTTTCTATATTCTGCCTACCATACTGTAATCAATTACAGTAATAAATCCATCAAATTTCCTTATATTTATTATATCAAATAATAACATAAAAATAAAATGTGAGAAACAAAAAAGATAATATCTAATAACGAATAAATATTATAATGATAAAGAAATATTAATAATAAAAAAATATTGATTTATATAGCATAAAAAAATATTAAACTACTATTTGAAAAAAGATTTCATATTTTTATTTTATTTTATTTTAATTTAATTTAATTTAATTTATTTTTCATTCATTTTCCTTTTAAAAGACAAAATCATTTATCTGCATCGATCTCTACATGGTTTGATATCAAAGGAGAATCACTTTTCGACATTGGTCCGTAAGCTATATCTATTTAGAATGGTTATAAATCCACAGACTGATTACCGTTATATTGAAGTAACCTTTGTTCATTACGTGCAAGTACGAATAAGTAATCACATAATACATATGATTTTACAGCAAAGCATAAATCAAAAATAATATTTTATTGTAATGAATGAAATTTAATTTAAACAATATATCATCTTTCATAAACAAAGAGATCAAAAAAAAATAACCACATCTTTTTTAAAGATCGTTTCCAATCTTCTTCTCACAAAGACTTGATCGACAGACATAATACTTATCGAGAAATTAAAAAAAAAAGCCTTGAACTAACGATTATCGCTTTTTTTCTTTTATGATTTGTCTTTAAAATATTATTTCATTATATCTTAGAAAGAAACAAATAGATGAAGAAAAGAGATAATTGATAAAATACGGTTCGTTTCCGCTTAAAAACGTCCTCATTTTTATATTATTTGTTTTTTAACACGTCGCCGCACACTTCTAATTTAACGATCGTGCTCAAAAATACATTTTTTTCAATTGTTTATAACTGCCATATGAAACTGAGCGTCAGCGCAATACGGCTATACCCTTTATTTGTCTACATATCGCCAAAAATCGGACGACTGTAGCCGTCATTTGTGGCAACGTTTTAATTACATATTTCTTTTACGTATTTCACAATACTCACGAAATTTTTACATAATTTCTTCGTGCTGAATAAGGATTTATTTTGTCGTATTTCTATCAACGCGCATATTTGTGTTTTTAAACACACACACACATTAATATTTCTTCAAATGCGAATAGAAATAGAATTTAAATATGACAAAAGTTATTCGTTATTAAAATAAAACTGACCACGAATAATTTTACATTTTTATTTTTTACGTACTTTTTTTATTTTTACATATAAAACATATAGGAAAGAATAGTATAAGATAGTCAAGATAATCACATTCTCAAGAAGCCGAAGTCTAACATTATAAATGAGCACTAACTTATCAATGGTTGGATCATGTAATGTGATTTCATAAGAGACATCAAATCGAAATTGTGAAGTATTAGAATATGTAAAATATTCTTATATATTTTTAAGTATGCAATACAAATACGATTAAAAAATTTCTATATATAACGTATAATTTAAGAACTCACTGCACAGAAGGAACAGGTAGCACTGATAACGTGATAATTACTAAGATAATAAAAAACATCTCTTTTATAATTAGCAATATTTTATGTTTTACTATGATATATTATTATTTTAATAATCACGATCAATTTATTCTACGTCTTAAATTTTTCGATATTTTCAATCTCAGAGATTTTTTTAGAAAAGTTTCTTCTAAAAAATCATCTACGAAAGAACAAAAAAATTAAATTATGTTTACATATACAATCGAAATCACATTTCGAGAGGTGATTATACATAATGTATTTTTACAATCCATATTAATTAAATGCGAAAAATCATAAGTTAACAAAAAAAAATAAAACGAGGCTTGTTAGATGCACAGCAAAATCACTGAAACGTGGATTTACTTCGAATTAACATCGATTTTCAAATTTTATTTCATCGGTCTAACTGTTCACATCGCCATAATTAAACAGTTTGTAATATTTATTGTAATCATTTAATTAATAAATATACTATATCTTGAAAAGCGCGATATTTCAAATAATATTAACTCCTGATAGCATGATGCAGATTTGATAAATTTAGATATTAATGAAAACTTGAATATCAATATATTCATGCATTTTCATAAGATATTATATTTTGGCATTTTAACATTAATACATTATTGGAGTACTTTTGATCGAGAGAAACATATAAATGATATACTTATTTTTAGGTTAAATAAGACTATATCTTTCTAAAATCACTTTAAAATATACAACATCATCATGGAAACGTATCATTAAATTTATTTCTATTCAAGGTTATAAAAGAAAAAAAAAAAACTTCCATACGTTTATCATAATTTGATCTTGAAGAATCACGAAAAACAATGAAACAAACATAACCTTTGTTAGAAAAAAGTTGCATGATATAATAAAATCGGTTTCTTTAATTAATACTGATCCAATGATATTATTCACATAAAAATAGATAGAAACTTAGATTCAAGCTTAGATTCAAATTGGCTCATGAAAGAAACTAACTATTTAAAACATGATACCTCTATTTTTATTAGTTGACTTACCTCAAAAAGTGCTAATAATAGTTTTACGTATAATCTGCGAACACCGAGTGATTTACCAATGGATGCCAGAAATATAATAGCAAGTAAAAACATAAGGAATGGCGTTAATAGCAAAGAAAAAGCGAATGAAATCACCACCCACGGGAACGCCATTTTGCTAACTGCTGAGCACTGTCGAGCACTGTCGAGAGTTAAAGTTTCGCGTACCTTACCTTCGTACATTAAACCGTTAAAAAAGAAGTCAATACTCTAGATTGTAAACCTTCAAAGTTAGACAGTTTCCTTTTAAAAGAGAACACTGCTCCATCTATCGAGTACAGATTAGAAGTACTTACCAATGATTATCAACGTTTTAATATCAATCTTATCTATCATTTTTAATATTTTAATGATAATAGAAAGAAAATTCTTGAAGCTTTAAAACAATAAAAATAAAGATTTTAAATTTATTTAACAAGTTAAAAAAATGTTCTATAAATAACTTATCAACAATTCGCAAAAGATTCATATTTATAAAATGTACATGTGTGTACATAACGTTATTTTATTATTTGCCAATAATTACAAAATTATTTAATCGCTAGTATTATCAGCTTGATTATCATCCTCCCCACCGCTTGCTGAAGCACTTTCAGAGTTAGATTCTTCGTCAGAATCTTTAAGCACTTTTCCTTTTATATTTTTCTTTGGTCTCAAAGTTTCGAAATCCGAACCTTCTTCATCCGAAGAATAAATATTCGATGCAGCTAAAAATAAAAGAATGAATTATTATAAATATTACAAAAAAAAAAAAAACATTGTAATATAGTATAATATACTAATATATATACCTTTAGCAGTAGCAGCAGCACCCTTTTTATATTTATTTTTTATAGCTGCAAGAGAAATAGCTCCTTCATCTTCTGAAGCATCATCGTGATAAGCATCGACACCATATCCAGTAGAAGCTCTTCCTGTGCTTCGACCTCCACTAGCAGATTTTTTCGTTTTACTCTGAACGCGCATAGCCATTCTCAATTTCTCTTCTTCTTTCTGAAATTCGTAAATAAATATTTATTATTTTTATCAAAAACTAATGGTAAAATAACTAAAATTAAAGTAAAAATATATCACCCCAACCTTTATCATTTCATATCTATTTTGATCTGGATTCATTCCCACTTGAGAAAGAACTTTAATACCAGATGTTTTTTGTGATCTATCCGCTAAAGACATTGTCATTTTTCTATGTGTAAAGGACTCGGTCGAATGAGGACGGAAAGTTAATTTTGTCCTGAACACTGCTTGTCCTTGTAAACCAGTACCTTGTCGTATGTAAAGGTGATTATGATCACCCTGTAACGGCTGTTTATATACATCGAATATTTCAGATCCCAAATGCAATGACATACTGCCATCTGACCATTTAACAAACCTAGCATTACTCTCATGCGCAACTCTTCCTTCCTCATCAAATACTTCTTTCCATCTTATTGTATTTTCAACTTTGAGTTTTAATCGAGCTCTACCCTCTTCATCTAAAGTTTCTTCCTCATCGATTTCATCTTCATAAGTATCATGGTCAAATGGTCTAGTTTCTACAGATAAGAAGTTAGGAAGCTTAACAAAATGTATTTCTCTTCCTAAATCTGTAGATATTTTTGGAATTTCCACATCAATCCTAGTTTCTGGTGGTGGTTCTGGCTCATCTTCTTTATCTTTCTCATCCTACAATAAGAATGTGTAGAATATCTGTCAGAATAAAAAAGAAATAGAATATACTTAATAAAGTAAGTTTATGATTATACATCTTCAATAACAGGTTGATGACTTGGTCCTTCCCCACCGCTATCAGATCTTCCTCTGCTAAGACTTCTACTTCTACTTCTACTTCGGCTTTTACTTCGACTTCTACTTCGACTTTCACGTTTTTCTTTATCTTCAGTTTCCTTTTTTTCTTTCTCATCATCAGTACTAATATCACTTGCATCACCAAATAAAGCATCTGCTGTTGGAGCTACACTATCTTCTTTATCTTTTTCTGTATCTTCATTATCAGAGTCTGAACCTATTACAGCTCTATGCTTTTTAATATTTTTTATTTCTTCCGAATCACTAGTTTTGCGCTTTTTAGATTCTTCTAAATCACTATCGTCAGATTTAGCACTTTCTTCATTACCTAAAACAAGAAATATAAATAAATAGGATAAATAGAAACAAATATATTTCACATAAATAAATTTTACTGACCAGCTGCAATAAAAGATTTTTCAGATTCATTATCACTTCTATCTTCCTTAGGAGTTTGAGACTTTCTTGAATCTAATACCTTTGACTCATTTTCTTCATCTGACTTTCTACTTTCTTCTGATCTTCTACTTCCTTCTGATTTTCTACTTCCATCTGACTTTCTGCTTCCATCTGATTTTCTACTTCCATCTGACTTTCTGCTTTCATCTGACTTTCTGCTTTCATCTGACTTTCTGCTTCCATCTGATTTTCTACTTCCATCTGACTTTCTGCTTCCATCTGACTTTCTGCTTCCATCTGACTTTCTACTTTCATCTGATTTTCTGCTGTCATCTGATCTTCTGCTTCTATCTGATCTTTTACTTGCATCTGATTTTACACTTACATCTGATTTTACACTTACATCTGATTTTCTACTTGCATTTGACTTTCTACTTGCATCTGATTTTCTACTTCCATCCGATCTCCTACTTACATCTGACCTTCTACTTTCATCTGATCTCCTACTCGCATCTGATCTAGTTGATTTTACACTTGATCTTGATGAAACAGAAGCATTATCAGAATCTGAACCTATAACAATAATTTAAAATTAATTTAGTGATGTTAATCATACAATACTATTTAATTTTAGTAAATTAAAAAAAAGACATTTATTTAAAATATATCGTTTAAAACATATTTATTTATATTAAAGGTTCTTGTAAACATATATTTTATATGTAATAAAAATATACTATGTAAATTTTATTATGCAACTATACTAAAGTAATCTATGTTATGAAAGATAGTGTCAATAAAGATGATTCTAGAAAAATTTTAAAATTGAAATACGTACCAGAATCTCCGCTCGAATCTCTTAAACTTTCCTGTATTGGCGACATATTTAATAAATAAACGCACTATAACCAAACTATTAAATCTCTAAATAGAAAAAATCATGATAAGATTGACAGTATTATATATTAGAACCTTCAATTAACCATCTTTTTTATATTACATTTTAACAAAATATTGTTAATATTTAATGTAAATTTGTTTATAAACTGTTCATAAAATGAAATTAAATAATATGTAACAAAAATGTACAAGAACATTTACTGTTTGTCCTCACGCTGAGAAATGTAGGGTTTTCATCTTCTATTGGTTTTACTTGTAATGCGTATGTAAAACGTGTTATGATCACGTGATTAAAAATATCAATATTTCATTGAGAACAATCTTAATTCGTTTTTGTATATTTATTTAACAAGATACAATAATTTTGTAACCAAAATATAACAAATTAATGAATAATTAAACACGAGCACTAAGAAAACTTATCTACTAGCAATAAACTTACAATTAAATAGAAAATTAAAGTGGACAAACCAAGTCCATTGTAATTCAATTGTGGTGCCTAGTAACGATGGCATTGTTGTCGAGTTGAAATCTAGGAAATTTCTAATGTCGTCTTCCCTTATGTTTCAATCTAAAAGCATTGGATACTTTCATAGTTCCAAAAGAATGTAGAATATTACGTATAGTTACTTGCTGATGAGAACAGGAAATATTTGGGGATAGTATTAAGACGTCGTAAGATAGACATCACTAACAAAATGTCGGTCTCAGCTGAACTGAATCCAAGACCCGTTCGAGTATCACCTTTAATAAAGGTACATGGGAATAATTTTAATATGCTCTGTTAATATATATTTATGTGATTAATAAATATATCTTAATGTAGAAAAATATTGCGATCTATTTTTTGATTATGTATTTATAAAAAAAATTTACTTTCATCGAAAATTTTGTTTTATTATATAACTTTTAATGTATGCTAAATAGAAAATTAGACAACAATTTATTGTTATTTTAAGTTTACAATTAATTGTTAAACATTTCTTCGAAGTTCTTTTGTCATTTGTTTTTCTAACCTGTAATGATTTAATCTTTGGTAGTTCTACACAAAATTGATTTTATTAATTCCTTTTAATTGTCCTTTTAATTAATCTGTATTTAACATTTCATAGGAATGAATAAAGAAAAAAAAAAAAAAATAAGCATAATCTAAAATTTTTTAATGAAATAATTATATAAAAAAAATGTATAGATTAAAGGAATTATTGTACTCTTAACCTGTGATCTTAACCTTGACTGGATTTTTTGACAATTTTTCTATATACATATAACCTAGTATATATTTAATTAAAAAAAAGTTTTAATATCTGTGAATTTTGTTATATTCAGTTTTCACGATGGACGTTACTTACCATGGGAATTTTATATGGAGCATTTTTCCAACGTAGATTTGGTAATATAGAAGCTGCTCGCAGAGAAAAAGAAGAAAGAGAAAGACCAGCACGAGAAGCAAAAGAAGCACTTGAAAGGAAGATACGATTAGAAGGTAATTTTTATTCATATTTCTAAAAAATAATTGATTGACATTACAAAATAGTATATAATTGTATATAGTAGCATGTAATAATGTATAATAGTATATAATGATTCATCTATATATCTCACAATTGTTCTCATTTTTTTTCATAAAATCAATATTGTGATGTTTCAGAATTTTTTATAACATATATTATATGCATATAGTATACTTGAAACGTTTATGTATTAATCCTGTCCATCTTTCTTGTTTCAGAGGAACAAAAGATGTTAGCAGATCTTTTTAAAACGAACTAAGTTATTCTATATAAACTTACTAGTGCATTATTAATGGAGATTACCTATGTGTAAATAATAATAATAAAATACTATAATATTCATATTAGGACCTATCTATTGCCTATTAAACTATATTAATTAGTACATTAAAATATAAATATAAAAAATCTTTTAATAGGTGACATTTACTCAATAATTGGGAAGAAATGGTTTTTCTTATGATAAAAAGTATTTAATTAGTTTTTTATTTATAAATAAAATTATATGTGTATTTTAATATCAGTTTTTATAGAATTTTTTAAAAAATTACATTGTGATAATTATTTGGTTTTAAGTTACAATCTGTGTGCAATTTCTTTATTTCAAAATAGATAAAGATTTATTTAAGAAAATCTTACTATTAGTAAGTGAAGTTTTTCTTTTCTTAAGATTTATTTCATACCAGAAAATACGCTTATTTTTAATTTACAAAATGTATAAAAAAAGTAACAAAACTTTTGTTCATTTGCAAAATGTTTGCAAGTTTTACAAAATAGTTCTATACAAAAAAATCTGTTTTAATGATTATCATGCAATTAAAAACTAAAATGCTTTGTAATTGGAAATTTATATAGAAAATATTAAATAAACAAAATATTTGCGTTTTTTACATATATTGGTAATTTTAAATCATCAAAACATTTTCGTCATATATAGTACAATATCTATCTAATTTTATCTGTCCAAATGCGCAATAATAGGTTAATAATAAAATAATATTTATCGAGCTTTCAATTGTTTTATTAGATATTATTTAAACTTTCATAAGCAAAAGACAATATATACGCAAAACTAGAAATAATTAAGGTTCTATTAAATTAAATATAGAGCGTAATGATTATGAAAATAAAAGTTTAATTTTACCAAAAGAAATCTAGGAAGAAAGAAAAAAAAACCGCCCGAACAGGGACTCGAACCCTGGACCCTCAGATTAAAAGTCTGATGCTCTACCGACTGAGCTATCCAGGCACTTATGTTAGTTCTACGAAATATACACATATACTTTTCATATATCGATATAATAACATTTTTATTCTACAATAACAATATAACACGTCAATAACATCATACAACATATCAAAATTGAATATCTTTAAAGAATAATATTTATTTTTGTATTATTAAAATTAATATCTTATAAATCAGTGAAAGAGAGAATAATACAATTATAGTATTTATTTAATATATTTTTAAAGTATTTACAATAAACGATAAATTGTTTATATAATTGTATTATATGTAAAATTTGGATCATATAAAATATATTACAACAACAATAATTATGTAAAATAATGTTTTTATAAGTCAAGCAATTGCATTATTGTGGAATGGATATTGGAATAAAAATATGTAAAAGTTAATTAAAATATTAATATAACAGATAATGTTAACAATATATTTGCATATTCACAGAATTTATTTAGAGACATAGAGTATGTTTTTTATAGTAAGTAATTATTTATTATCATAAATGCTGTTAGAAATTGTTACTCCCATTAATCTTTTATCATCTTCAGAGTTTCATTTCCATTTTTAAACTGTTATCAATGTTGTCTCATAGTCTTTAGTAATCAATTGAACAAGACTACCATTGGAGGGACGGTCTTGATTTTGAGACCATTTCCAAAACAAGCTATTGATAATATAAATACGTTATATAAATATATATTATATAATTCTATGTTAATAATAATAAAATATATATGTTATACTTACTCTGATATAAATTCAAGAGGTGTCCATGTACTTGTATCAGCTTTAGGCATCCACGTTCTATTCAATGGAGTATCCAAAATAACAGGTAAGATAGTAGCAACAATAGAACCATGAGGAAGACCACTACCCTTGGAAGCTAAAGACTTGGTCAATTGATGGACTGCTGCCTTAGCCATTCCATAACCAATCATATCTAAATAATCAAGCAATAAGAATCTCTAGGTCATCACAAAAGTATAATAGTAAATGTTATTCAATGATATTTAAAAAGACCTGGTGTTCCTTCTAATGCAGCTTTAGCACCAGTCAATGCAAGAAATCCTCCTTGTTTCAAATAATGAGAGGCAATACTTGCTGCAATAGTTGAACTCCAAACACTTTGTTTCCACGTAAGATCATTATTTTTGATAAAATTTGAGCTTGAAACATTTCCTCCAGCCCATCCACCTGCTACACAAATCACTCCATCTATTTTGTCTTCTTTCAGAATATCTTTTATTTCTGATAAGATATCAGATTCCTAGTATATAAAAATAAATTATATTAATATCACTATTTCATATAAATAAGTAATAGTGAAATAAAAATTAGATTCAATAGTTACCTGATCCTGCCAGTTTCTATTACCATTTACAACAATATTAGCATCTGCAGTTTCATTGGGTTTCATATCAATAGATCCAACCCACTGAAATGGTTTATCATTATTTATTACATATTGTAATATTTATTAAACTAAATAACATTTTATAAAAGCAATCAAGGCTCTTTGAAATATGTAAACAATTAGATCATGAAAAAAAATGATTTTAATCTATCTTATTTTAATCTATTTTATCTTAACAATTTATAATTAATAATTTATAAAATTATTTATAGTATATTATTTTGTAAAATTATTATATATCAAGCAAAATATGATATATATATATAATATATATATATATATTATATATATATATATATATATATATATATACATACATACATGTTTATATATATATATATATATATATATATATATATAATATATATATATATATTATATATATATATATATATATATAAACATGTATGTATATTATATGTATACATATATATATATATAATTCGAGGACGAAAGATCTGAATCGGCACGAGTGATTGGTTTTAATTAATTGAAAAAGAATATTGAGAAGAAAATTAATAGATAAAATATCAAGAAATAAATAAAATAAAAAAAATTTATCTCTCTCTTTCTTCCCTCCCCCCTCTTTCTCTATGTAAACAACGAGATCACGAAAAAAAATGATTTTAATTTATCTTATTTTAATCTATCTATTATCTTTTTCTCTTTATAAAATATGTTTATATATATAATATATATAATACATATAATATATATAATACATATAATATATATAATACATATAATATATATAATATATATAATACATATAATATATATAATACATATAATATATATAATATATATAATACATATAATATATATAATATATATAATATATATAATATATATATATAAACGTATTTTATATATATGTATATATAATATAAAACATATGGAAAATATGCTGTCTCATACATATACGTTACATGGAAGGTCCTGTTCCGATCTATAAGCTAATCCACGCTTACGTGTTGCGCACTTATCGATATATGTTTCAATCAGTGAGAAAATGATAGTATAGAATAAAAGAATTTTTGAAGTTTACTTCAGATGGTTTTGAGCTTGGAAAATAAATTTTCAGTCCAAATAAATAATAAAAGGCTGATTATTTATTTTACAAGTGTTTTTTGGATATTCTTTATTTGCTAAAAGCATAATTCATCAAAAGATATCCTTGTCACAAAATTTTAAATAAAACCTTGCGATTTGTTTTATTTGCTTCTGAATGTTTTTTATTAAGATATTGTACAATACTATTTTTTGTTATAATCAAATGCGTATTAGTTTTTATGAGGTTATCCTTAACATGGTTTTCTGTGTCCTTGCGCAACTTTCATCTCACTAGACATTTTATACGTCCTATGTTACGTCTACAGTACGTAATTTATAAAAAAAACAAAATGACGAATACTTATACACTTTACTTTCTAAAGTATTATTTTTCTATTACTTTCTAGAGTATTATTTAAATACGCTAATAGAAAGTATTCTTCAAATTTCACGCGAAATTTTCTTGTTATTAATAAACAGATTTAAATCAAGATTTTATTTAATACTTTATATCATTAAAAATAAAATACTTGTAAAATTAATACGTGTTTTATAGATTAAAATTTATACGTCAAATTATTTTTATAAAAAAGTATAAGATAATATTAATACAGTGTTTATCTTTTATTTAAATTTATTCGAAATGTCATGTTCGATAAACTTATCCTTACTTCGATAAAATTTTTTCTTTAATTATAACATTATATATAAATATTTATATGCTTACCCAATTTTTTGATTTAAATTGGGAAACACAAGCAGAACCCAGGGCTCCGTTACCACCGTAAATTATAACACGTCCTAATGCCGCTGCCATTGTTCACAAAATGTGCCTAAACTCTTTTTTTTGATTTGCAAGAATGATCCGGGAATCAGCGATCGACTACGAAAGAATACGAGTAGGAACGAGCTGACTTTCGGAAAATGTCGTGAAAGGATTGCTAGATTGCCGGTTCTCGACATTGAATAAAATACTAGATGACCGTTCGAAAAGATAATTTGGGATTACATTATATTGGTGTAGCTTCGTAAAGACAGACACGAAGCATCATTTTAGTTGTATAATAATAAGCCAAAATAATATAAATGATAATGTAATTATTCTTTTAATTAATAAGAAGTTTAATTTATTATAATTATAGTTTAAATTTTGTTATAATTGTGAGATTTATTAGTATGTGTAGTGTTGTATGTATATATGTACATATATATAATTTTCATATCAAAATCATTTAAATAAAGTTTATAAAATTCTCTAATACGATTGGTTGATTTTTACAATGAGAGTACTATCTGTAATTTGAAAAGTTATAAAGTCAAATGATATGATTATAAATATACAGGTTTAATAATACGTAATAATATTATTGAAAAGAAGTCTATAAAATATTACAGATATGTGTAATTATTTTTTTTTGCAGATAATATTGTTGTAGCAAATTATATTTTTCCCGCACTTTTCATAGAAATCGTGGCAACACCGCATGTGCGGAAAGAGAGGCCGTGCCCGCAATGTTCTCCGGGAGCGTAGGTCTAGTGTGACGTCACGGTAGCCTAGTTGGGTTAGGTTTTACGCTGGAAATTCTAACGAAAAATTTTTGTTTGACGATTGATGTTTTCCTCGTCGCATTCACCGAACCGAGCGACGTAGCGAGCTGACGTAGTGGCGACCGGTGATCGTGTTTTATAAATCGTGCGATCGCGAAACCCCGCGCTGTCGACGTATATGAAATTTTAAACGGAAAATGAGTCGACATGAAGGTATGTACGTGTGTGCTGCCTTCTGACTAGCAAGTCAGCTTGGTCCTCCTCGTGCATCCAGTTTATCGTAATAATGATGGAAAAGATTTTAAGATATATGAGGGCATAATACATTTTTATGATGAATCTATGCTGATTGTAAAGAAAATTAGATGATTTTTTTATGCTACATGTTTCTCAGAAACGTTTCCCTTTGAGCTCAAGACGGATCGTCCTAATGTCAGAGCCAGATGGCAGCAGTGAGCAAAAATTCACTCGAATTTAGATTCGTCTTTTTCAGTAATTAGCTAGAATTTTATAATGTGACAAATATTCTCGATGCTCTTTAATGTAAGACGACTGTAAATTGATGATAAATGATATATGATGAGTTGTCAGGATGTATTACCAGCTGATTGCTTTCAGATCAGTTTCCTTAGTCTCTTTTCTCCCTCCGCTCACCCCCCTCTCTTGAAGACAGATAATTTTACTGTACTTGAACATATTGAAATCTTTTCTTGTTCTTTTAGAACTATGTATAAATTAGATCTATCTTTTATCAATTAACAGCAACTTAGAGTAATTTTGTTAATGGTCTTGTTAATTGCATTACAATGACAATGTTTGTTACAAATGTACATGTATTAAATAATTTATTTATCTACGTATATATTTATGTTCGTGAATAGTTTTTGTAGATAATGACTTTGAATAAGATCTTTATTTTGATGCTTTTAATTTGATAATTTGGAACGTAATAACTTTTTGCATAACAAGATGGTCATGTATAGGTACACACATGCATGATATATAAATAACATTGATATTATCATGTCATTTATACATCATGTATGTATATATATACCTGTTTACTTTTTATAGTATATTATGATACAGAAAAGGATAAAAGTTTGAGAAAGGAATTGCGTAATCAGGATTTATATATGTATTTGCATGTTTCCATTTTATATTTTTTGCTATTTTAATATTTTCCCTTATTAAATATAAGACAGCAAAAATATTATTAATATTTTATGTATCTTATTATAGGGGTAAGCTGTGACTCCTGCTTAAAGGGTAATTTTAGGGGTCGCAGATACAAGTGCCTCGTATGCTACGATTATGATTTATGTGCCAGCTGCTATGAGGGTGGTGCCAGTACTACACGCCACCTTACTGATCATCCTATGCAGTGTATTCTCACTAGATCTGATTTTGGTTAGTGACTGCTTTTTCATATTTTTATATCATTATATATTTAGTAATTTTTATAAAAATATTAAGAGAGAGAGGGGGAAGTGGGAGAGAGAGAGGAGAGAGAGAGAGAAGAGAGAGAGGGAGAGAAAGATTTCTCTTAAATTTTATATATAACAAAATAATTATTTTACAGAATTGTATTATGGTGGAGAAGGTGTCAGTGTAGAACAACCTCAATCTTTAACTTGTCCTTATTGCACAAGAATGGGTTTTACTGAAGCTACTTTGCAAGAACATGTTGCTGCGGATCATCCAGACACTTCATTTGAAGTTGTGCGTATACTCTATGAAATACTGATTATGTTAATAATGATATTTTGTACTTTAGAAACTATTTCTTCAAACTATTTTTTAATATCATTGCTCTTTAATTCTGTCTTAGGTTTGTCCAGTTTGCGCAGCTTTACCAGGTGGGGATCCCAATAATGTAACAGATGATTTTGCTGGTCATTTGACTTTGGAACATCGTAGTGGACCAAGAGATCTCATTTCTCTTCTGGACGAGCCAGCTTCAAGTCGACATGGAGTCAGACGAATACCACACCCATCCAGAGGTGTAGGAGGGCAACGTCCACGCAGGTATACAAAAGTATTAGTGTTAGTAATAAAAAGGGATGATCTATACAATCGCTAAATTATTTTTTACGTTTAGGATTCATGAACAAAGGAACAATATCTTCATACATCATATTTTTTTCCATCAGCATAATTTTTTATGAAATATGTTAGTATTAACTTTTTACGGTCGTAATATTTTGTAGCATGGATATACTATTGTCCGGAATTATTTCCGCTTTCTCAACACTCAAATGATTGTTACCTGAAAATCCTACTCCTATGGATTAAGGATCCTAAGTTTATCTTTTCTTTATATTTCAATGGCATAGAATATAAGAATGTTGTTGCAATACAATAGATAAACAGGGTAGGGTTTAATTCTAAAACAACAATAAACAGTAAAAGTACCTTACAGAGAATATTTTAGAATACGACTGTAACGGTGAAAGTGTCCTGCCGGGATTTTCCCCGTCATAAAATCGTAACGGTAAAAGTACCTGGCCAGAAATATCCCGGACCTTGACCGCTAAGAGTTAATACTCTCACATTAAGGTTCATTACCATCTTACCTTAGATAATGTTCATTGGAGTGTCATTGGACCTGCAGGTCCAACATGCATTTCAGTTCGTCTGGAGGCTTAAGTCCCAGTAGTCGAGAGGGTATAGATCCAATCGCAGAATTGTTATCGCAATTGTCGGGGGTTCGTCGAAGTGGTGGTGGTACAGGACAAAGTTCTTCGGCACCGTCTCAACTACAGCAGTTGCAAATGCAGTTACAGTTGGAACGGCAACAAGTTAGAGTACGTACATTACTATACGTACCCGTCTTTTGATTTTTCTCTAGTGGTTTCTTTTCACGCTGAGTGCTCGTTAATAATGAGTTCTTACTATACGAACGCAGTAAGTGGAATAAAATAAATAAAAAATAATTAACATTTTGTCGGTCACAAATTTCGCTAAAAAATTATCGCTAATCGTCGGGTCTCTCGCATAGATGCAACTGCTTTTCGTATAATCGTTCATAGTGTTATTGTAATGTATTTATTTAATCGAAATTTTATCATGTAATCTTAATCTTAATGTAGATGAACATCAAATTTATGATTATCAAATCATTTGTACAATACCATTTAAAATTGACACGAAATAATATTTATGTGATGCCCGCCGATAAGTTCTGGTTGAACGAAGTGTTTAGAGAAAGTATTAAGAGAAAAGCTAGTATAAGTAATACAAATATTTATTTCATGCATTTATTTGCAAGAAATACTGAATTGTAAAGTATATTTATTATCATTTATGCGAACACGATTAATACGCTCACTACGATTCAATCAGAATAACGTAATTAGTGGAATCGCATAATAATTTGTAGCTAACTGATGTATAATAAATTCAATGAATAAGAAAAACATTTCCACACATACAAGAGAAATATATCTTTTGAGTGCGTAAACGGAGAGATTTTTACCGTGTAAAAAATATATTAAGATTGATAAATTAAATATAAAATATATAACATTAGTTGCTTTATTTTAGTAATAATTATTAATAATAATATCTTTTATGTTAATTTCATATGTATATTTTAGGCTGCTAGGCAACAGTTGGAACGGTTGCCCAGGAGACAGACACAGGTTATTGGTTCAGTTAGTGGAGGAGGTGGTACAAGTGGTGGTCATTCTACTACTATGGCAAGTGTAGTGGCAAACAGTACAAGTAGTAATAACAATGCAACCAATGTGGCCAACTCATCTATTGTTTCATCTACCAACTCACAGAGCTCAATGTTTCTGTTGCCTAGGTAATTGCCATAAATTACTTTCTTCTTATATCATACTTTTCTAATTTAATATATCTATTTAATTTGTATAGATGCATTACAACTACTCTGTCCGATTCACAATTGCAAAATGTTGAACGCGAGAGTGCAAACAGAAGCCTCTTCGTACGTGAACTTATTCTCGGGACACTTTCGCAAACATTGCCAGATTTGCTACAACAACAATTGTCCATTGCACAGACACCAATATCAAGTGCAACTACTGCCACGACAAGTCCCGAAACACCAAATGCAAATGCTTCCACGATTCCCACGAAAAAATTAAATATAACTCAAGAAACAAAACGAGATCAAACATCAAGTAAACATGTAACGCCACCGCCTGTGCAGCAACAGCAGCAATCGCATATTGTCCAAGCTGCAACCGGTAGCGTAGGAGCAGGTCTGCAAAATCAAGGATTATCTACAAATTCTAATAGTATCACGTCGCAGAATCCACCTATGGTTCAAACGTTGATGCATAGTGTATTACCCCAACCACTGGTGAGTCCTCCTTAAATTTCTGCAAAGTTTATTTCTGCAGTTTAATTTTTAAAATTAT